TTTGCTTGACTTTTGAGCTTGGATATTTTTCTTCTTTTGGGCTTTTGGATAATTTGAAAATTGATTTTCTAATGGGCTTCTTTACTTCATTTCTTCATTTAATCCACGGGTTTTAGTTAAGAGATGGGAGTTTTGAGATTTATTCTTCATTAACCTGTAATTAAAGATAAAAATAATTATTAGTAGTATATTTATTCATATAAAATAGATAATGAGGGTATAAAATTGTAATAAAATGTGATTATCATGAGACCCTATCAAAATATTCTTTACTAGGCTCCACTTTGGGTTCATTAGACAGAGCAACACCGAAATGTTGGAGAATGAGAGTGATGATATAGCCAAAGGGAAGGAATTTGAAATGCTTACATTCCATACTCTTGAGAAAATGATTAGCCCAATTCACTTTTATTTGGGCAAAGATGGCATAAACTGCATTAACTTTATCAGGGGCATAGTGATCGAAACTCCCGGTTTTGGGAATAAGGTTTTGAGCAACAATACGAGCTATGATTTTAGCAGTGGGATTGAGTGATTTGTTGTTCATGGGATAGGTGCAACCGGTCTTAAACATGATATCGTTCATAGCTTGATCAGTGTGTTCGATAGACATAAGCTCGACATCGCTTGACAGGATCTTAAGGATTCCTGCAAGTTCGTCGGCATGAAAAGAAATCTGGATGTTTTTGACAGATGTGGAGATGGTTTGGACACCATCAGCAGTGGAAGTGACAGACAAATTTGCATAAAACAAATATACTAGAAATGGATAATAAGGAACTTTGCGTTCCACATCTAACAGTTTAGCCAACCCAACTTCATGTATAATCGTATGAATGTCATAGATGGCTAATTGATCATACTTGATATATCTAGTAGGCAGGATTTTCAGTTTGCATAACTCCATATATTTCTTAACTAGGGGCTTAAACAGAAGATAATCCTCATAATGAGAGGCAGTAATAGATGAGGAACTAGATTCAGGTTTAGATCTTTTCTTAGGAGGCATGATCGATTAGGGTTTTGAAAAGATGTGAAATTTGACATAATTTGAAACCCTAAAAAGAAAAAATAAAGCACAATAAGTACAAATAAGCAAACCCTAAACCAAAACCCTAGAATAGAAATGTTGAAACTCTAGAGCAAGAAAAAAAATTGAAAGGTGAGAGATTACCCGAGAGAGGTAGATAGCAGCTGCGGTCGACCGAGGAAATGCTGCGGGCGACCGAGGAGAGGAACTAGAAATTTGGGAAGAAAAATGTCGAATGGGGAAGAAGAGGAGGGTCAGATCAAAAAGGAGAGAAATGAATGGTGCGGATTAGCTCAAGGATGAAATCAACGGTGACAGGTGAGTCGGGTTTAGAAACATTATAAAACAAAAACCAAAGCCCGATAAGAGATCAAACAGGAAATAGGGAAAAACTCTTGCGATCGATCGTGGCAGTCGACCGTAACAAACTCCATAAACATTGACGGTCGACCGTGGCGGTCGACCGCGAGAAAAATAAGGGCATAGTTAGTTTATAAATTCTGGAATTTGAGGAAAATTTAATTTGATCCTTAATAAAATTGTTTTATAAGATGTATAAATACATATAAAGTATTTAGTTATTAAAACATGAAAAAAATATTTTATTTTAACTTAATAAAAAATAAAATTCATCATTTAAACTTAAAAACCAATTATTCACAAACAAAATGAACAAAACAAACAAAAACAGAAATTGATATAAAAATCATTTTGGTACCCAAATCATTTTGGTATCACTAGAATTTGGGACATGACCCCTATCATTTAAATCCAAGGTCCTAAGGATATGAACCCGCTTGGGCGTATTTTGTGCACCGATACGATCAAAGCAAAAATTATAAACATGACCCATACGATTGCAATTTGTGCAATGTAGAGGTTTGAATTGTTTGCGTTGACCAAAATGAAGTACACGTGGTTCATTTACAAAAATAGATTTTTTTTTTTGTAATTATTTTGCAAGAGAGAATTTCATTTCAAATCGAAACAAAACATGGCCAAATCACCAAAACGACCATAATAATCACATTTGTAAACATGAGCATGTTTATGATTTACACTATGTATGTGTACATGTGTATGTGATGAAGAAGCTTGATGGGATGCACAATCATGAATAGACTTGTTAATTTTTGGTGCATTATGAAAAAATTTAGCTAAATGGCCTTTAAGACCGTAAATAGAACATTTGTGAATTTTGTCATACATATGTGCATAGTGAATAGGTTTCTTAGAAGAATTAACATTAAACTTTGTACATAAGTCCATAAGCTTTTTATTATTATCAATACAAGTGTTTAGTGTTGAATCTAAGGTGGATATACATTTTCTCATTTGATTCAACTCATCATTGTGCATACAAGCATTGCTACTAGAAGTAGGATAAACAAGATTTTTCATCATAGATTTCAACTTATCTACTTCTAACATAGCATCAGGTTTTTCATGAAGCAAACTAGCATTTTCAATTCTCAAATTTTCATTGCATTCTTTAAGAATAATATTTTTATTTGCAATAAAATTAAACTTTGTGGCTAGTGTTTCATGAGTGGATTTCATATTTACATACTTACTCTTTACATCAATATAGCAATTGTGTAATTTTTTAAACTCAAGAGCAAGTTCATCAAAAGTAATAATATCATCGTTATCAAGATTGCATACCTCATTAGGGTTATCACCTAGTGGTAATGTACATGGAGATGAGGTTTCCATAGAGCTTAAAGCGGGATTTTCCAACGCTTGTTGAATAGCTTCCGAGTCTCCTTCATGTGCTTCAATAAATTTCCATATGGCGTAAGCACTATCAAAATGAGCAAATTTGTTAGAAAATGATGAGTGAAAAGCAATAAGCAAATATTCTAACAAGAGCTTGTTCATGTTAAACAATCTTTTATTATTTTCACTCCATTTGGATTTTTCCAAAATGGGAACAACATAGGCGTCCTCAATAATCTCCCATAAATCGAATTGTTTAGATTGAACAAAAAGTTTGAATCTAACACGCCATTGAGCATAGGAAAAAATATCCAAACGAGGAGCAATATTAATAACATAACCTAGACTAGATGCATCATACATATCCATAATGATTATATGCAAGAAGCAATGAGCAATCAACACTAGATTAGCACGAAAACGATAACTTGGATCTTTAACTCAAGGTGATTAGTCCTTAAATTAAAGAGCACCAAGCTCTGATACCAATTGTTAGATCCTAGAGGGGGGGTGATTAGGGTCTTATGCTAATCTAATCCCAATTAAATGCCAATTAAAATTAATTTGTTCTTGCAAGAAAGATACAAGATAGATATGAGTAAGAGAGATATGAATAAGCACAAATAAAAGGTACGCTAAGCAAAACACAAACAAACGATATGTTTACGAGGTTCGGTCACCACGACCTACACAATCCGGTTTGGAAGCCGGAACTTCTACACACTCGGTTTACAAGATCACCAAAAACTCTTACACTACACAGACACTATGTAATCACACTTTACACACTAAGTGTAGGAACCTAGCTCATGTCCTCCTCCTCAAGTGCTCGGATGCAACCTCTCCCTAGGTTCGTCAACCGACGCCACTCCTATTGGATTCGACCCCTTCTCTCGCCTCACACTTCTCTCGGTGTACAAATATATTACAAGTGAAACTCACAAATAAAGATTAAATACAATGGTTTGTTCTCAATAACAAATGAGAACACAAATGAAGCTCATACTCACTAAATCACACCCCACAACCCACACTATATAGTATGAAGATATTAAGCTCAATATGTGTGTGTGATAACAGTTGTAGGCGTATAAAACTGCTTATAGGTCCCTTAGCACAGCTCGGCACAAACCGACGAACCATCGGGTGACGTATTTAAACACGAGCGTCAGTCCACAACACCGAAGCCAAGTGACACGCAACGAAGCGGATTAACGAGGCGACGAGGTTATAGAATCGCACGCAAGCAACGGAATGCATCCATTCGCGTGCGGAATCAAGCCAACGGTTCGGGGAGTCAACGTGTCATCCAACCATAGAACGGATTCGAACTCAAACACCAAGGCGGATTTACTGTCAAATCGGGATCCGGACACCAAATCAGAGTCCAGATCAATAGTAAAAACCATAAAACCGGTCAACGGACAACACGGCACAACACCTGGAGGACTCGGCCAAAACCGAGCCACATCTAGGTGGCTCGGTGGCCGAGCCACCTCTGGGTGGCCCGCCAGATCTGTGCCAAGGCACAGATCTGAGTGCCTATAAATAGGACTTGAGGGCTCATTTGTGAAGGGTTGGAATTTTTGACGGCGAAGCTCTGCTGAATTGAGATCTGAACCTTGGAGATTTGAAGCTTTGAAGACTTGCTCTTTCAGATCCGGTGCTCGGCGATCGTCCACGTCAAATAAGGTAGGAGTTTGAGAGGGATCGGATCTGAGATCTACACAGTAACTCTCCGGATCAAAGCTTGGCCTTTGATCCCGAGAAGGCGATTATTTCCTTGGTGAATTAATCCCCCCCCGGCTATTATTTCCTTCGCGAAATAATACCCATCATACTGTGTAGATCTGACCGGATCTAGATCGTGCGGTAGTCCACGGATAAACCCCGACGCAGGCGAAGAACCCACAAAAACGAGTGACCGCAAAACAGGAGCTCGTGATTCGTTCGAAAAGGAAAGTTGTAATCTTTTTATTTTTTCTTTGATTTTGTTGTAACTGGATCTTATAAAAAGACCGGATCTTTTGTAATCGAAAAACAATTACTTGAGAGAACAATGAATTCAATGAAGAAAGCTACAATTTTTCCCGCGAACAATCTGGTGACCACAGTGGGAGCGCCACTTGATTCTCGCCTGCTGGAGGATCAGATATCTTCGCGTCGGCAGCCGCGGGATCTCAATCGCCGAGTCGATGGAGGAGGATCGAAGTATCGAATATTCCACCTAGCAAAAAGTTCGAGGGTATCTTCATCCTCGTCCGCGATCTAACCTCCCCCCCGCAAGTCCAAGAAGTTCTCCTCTAGGAGGAAAAGTTCCCGTTGGTTGAAGAAGTCAGAACACCAATGAAAGCTCTCACCCCAGCTGCGCCAAAGTTGCGTCGCGCGTGAAGTTCCGCCGACTCCAACCAGCGTCAACCCTCTCCGCTGCCGATGCCTCCACCGTTTAAGGCTTGTTCACTCTCACGAAGAGAGCCCGCCAGAGGAGACGTTCAATGGACCGCCAGTTGTGCGCGGCAAACTCGCAAAAGGTCGAAACTGGAAGTCCACAACGTGCAGCACCGCTCCACGCATATCACGCGGATCTGAAGAACAGGAGAGGCAAACAGCCTCAACCACAGATGAATGGCGACTCCTCCAAGCCGCCAACGAACGAATGGGTCCGTGTCAAACGGAACCGTTCGACACTTGAGGAGCGCATTCGCAAGCGCCGCGCACTATCAACGCAAGCACGGGCTCAAATCCAGGAAGCCCGTAGAAGGTTACAGAAGGAAGTGGCCAAGAAG